GGATTTTCCTCGGTCTGAAAAAGTCGTGAAAGGGGGATGCGTTTTATTTTAATTTTAAAATATCCGTAGAGGACATACGGACATGCAATTGAACATTATTCGGAAGTGCATTTCATCTCCTTTGAGGCCTTGATGTGCGAAGGACTTCGAGCAAGGAAAACTGTGTCTCAAATTGGTCAGGGAAATCTTTGCTTGGACATCGCCTGGCTCTATTTTTGCATACCCCATGATTCTTAGAATCAATAAAAAGATGAACGCAGTACAGTATTCAGCAGTATTTTTACACCAACTGGATATGTGCTCTAGATTTTTGTTGATGCTTCAGGAGCGCCATAAACTAACATACACTTTGAAAAATCGAAAAAGAATCCGTAGAACACCCACGGGCATCCATCTGATTACCCAGATTTCGTGAGGAAGATGTTCAAAACTATTCGATATAATCTTTACAGAATGGGCGCTTGCACTTGACTTATCAGATTGATGATATGGTATACTGAGCCCGTTTCGGATAATTTGTGAAAATAAGGGCGCTATGTTCAGTACTACGGGATAAATATGTAACAAAAGATGAACAAATGTTTCAGGATGAAATACCTTCCTGCGTGAAATCCAGCTTGTATTTGACAATTGATCAAGTCTTGGTGATTCCGCACTTCGGTAATCTCAATGGTTTTATGGGATTTTTCTCTACAACCTCGCACATAAACATTAAAAATGAAGAACATATTCCAGGTTGAAGATAACAGAAAAGGCTTTTACTGACGTAATATCACCGAAATTTCGTGAATATTTCCTTTCTACGAAATCGTATGATTTTGCAGCTGCGCTTTTGTTAGTTCTCGGGTGATGATCCTTATTTCGCAGGAATTCCCGAATGCCTTTCCATGCGATCTGGTGATAAACCTGCTAAGCGACTAAAATTTAATCTTGTGAATCCGCCCACTTTGTTTATGAATCTTTAACTTCATCTTGAAATTAAGGCATGGTTGACCAAATTCTCCGGTGATAGTCTGATAGAAGCCCAAGAAATCGAGATTCTAATGCAATTGAACAGTAGAAGACGGCTATAGGTTTTTCAGTTTCCGTGGAGTATGAGAAGCAGGCTTTTCTGTCGCCTGGTAATGTACGTAATTAGTAAAGGCGCCTTTCACGTAGGAAGCAGTATACCATAATACTGCCGGCACCCCTTTTTTTAACGTGTTACGTACTGGACTTTAGTTTGCGAAGCATCCGAATGGTTGTTCGAAAAATCCAGGGTCTCGCCCTTCACCTACACTCGAGTTCGACGCGGAACAGCAGTTGTGATGATTGACGAAATTTCGTGTCGACTCGGCCACCGATGCGCCTTTTAATCGACCGTGGCGGGCCGTTTTGTCGGGAAAGAAGAAACCCGGGTTCGTCAATTCTCCGGTTACTTGGAAACCCTGAAAAAGGCAGCGTGCCAAAGCGGGGCCGTTCATTGATCTCTCCCGACGGCCGGATACGTTATACGTCGTTAATAATGTGCGGGGGAACCGATTTTCGATGGATGCACACGGTTTCCTACGTGCGTGGGCCCAGGGAAAACATAGCCGACCTTTTTTAAATTATTTTTTCTTTCTATGAATGTTACGTAAAAAGAGAAAAAAATTGAGGGCATAACGCGTTTTGCGTTTTGAGGATGTTTGGTGCCTATCCGGTTTACCACTCAGAATGTAACTTTTTTTTTTCTTAGGTAGTGCGAATCTTCGACTTCCCTTCGTTACTGGATTTAGATTTTTGCTCATCACTTTGTTGAGAAAGTGGCAGTCAGTCAATGGCAAACTTCGAATGATTAATCAGATTGAAATTTGAGATACGCAGTATCGACAAATTTCTTCGCGTGAAGACGTGAATCTACCTAAACTTGCCTCACCTCAGATTAGTTTTAATCAATTTTCTCGATTGAAACTTGGACTGGGCGGGAGTTTCCTATAGCACATATACAAACGAAGTATCCTTTCTTATAAACAATCATCTCTGTCATTGACACCAGAATCAATTTGTAGTAACTCAGATATACAATGCTAAGAATTCTATATTTTTGACGCTACTGAGGATCTTGGTCAAGCAACCCGCTAATTTGCCATTTTCGATGCTTTAATGTTCGATCCAGGTATTAATGAAGGCATTATCCGAAAAACAAATCTCGCCAAGCAGTACACAATAACGTTTACTGCTCGTAATCTTCCAAAAAATTGACAAAAAGGATTTATTCAGCATTCCACGCAAAAAACCATGAATAGTTTGTTAGTACTTGAAAAAAGGGGCAGTCCACTTTTCGCTCAATTGTTTAAAATGTTTCTCCGGAATCTTTGCATTTAAAATAAATCCTTAAGCAAAATATCTTCCCTTTTCCTCGTCAATTCCCGGCTGGAGTTTTTCTTCAGGTCCTTTAGACAAATACAATAAAATCTTTAATTGAAAGGGAATTAAGTGCATATTTAGCCTGATTGATGACTTGACGTTCCAGAGATCTTACTGATTTCTTTGGCCTAACCCGCACTCCTGAAATGAACCTCAAAACTTCGTAGCCTGGGAAGGCTCGAGAAGGAGACCAAACTTATTAATTGTGTGAATCGACCGTGAAACACTAATGAGAACAGCCGCTTGCAAACTATTCCTATCATCAAATTTTCTGCAAAGAGAAACCACGGTATCTTCACTATTGAAGTTTTCTTCGTAATTGAAATGAGCTCTCTTTTTTTCCATTCATGATAAAGATAATAACCGAAAAGTTTAATCTGGATTCAAATGAAAATTCAGGTGGATTTATTTCAAATAATATACTGATGTTCATTATTTCCATCGATAACTACGTCAAAACCTTCAAATACTGAAGACCTACCGATTTTGCAGCAATTCGCTACCTTATTTTCTACTGCTGAATTCATGAGGAGAGAACGAGGGATGAATTTAAAACTCACTTTTTTCGAATATGGGCATCGTTTAGAAGAAATAATTCCGTTCACCTTCGAATATAAAATCATCTTTCCAAATAAATTTGCTAAAACATTTCAAGGTGCGTCTTACATTTGTGAGTGGAAAGCATAACGTATTCCGACGAACATCCTTTTCGAAAAATGATCCGGTGTTCCTAAAATTGAATAAATTTCGTGATGTGTATTTTCAATTTCACCACGCGAGGATTATTACCAATAGGCATTTCCCACCGAATAAATTGTATTTTAAAAAATCAGGGTTCGCCTTATAATCGAATGAGTTTTGTACTGCTCTGTATTCAGCCCCGCGTAAGGGTCCGCGAGAAAAAAGCATGAGGATTAATCGAAGATGACGTGTTGTGTGTTGCGCAGGACTACCTGGCCCAGGACGTGAGCGATCGACTGACGCGGCGGGACTCGGCCCCGTTGTCGCCGGCGAAACCCGGAACCGAGGAGCACATGTTCCGCTTCAGCCCGGAAAACAAACCCGGGGCAGACTGGGACCAGAGCCCGAGCCAGCTTTCCCCCCGTTTCCTCACCCGTCAGCACGAGCACAAGCAGAGCTTCCTCAAGCACCAATTCGAGGCCCTCTTCCAGCCCACGGACAACAAGCTGGCCATGAAGCTTTTCGGCAGCAGGAAGGCCTTGATGAAGGAGCGGATGCGTCAGAAGGCCACCGGCCACTGGATCATCCATCCTTGCTCCAACTTCAGGTTCGATAAAGCCGGGGACGTAAAAATGTCAACGGGGCCACTTATCACGGCGCCTGCTCACCAGACGAGCTCGGGTGACTCCAAGCATAAAGATAAAACGAACGCCGGGCCAGCGTTCGATACTTCTTAATCATCCCCACTGGGTTTATCTAAACACTCCCCTCCACCGATCAATCAGCAGAATCGCGGTTATTCATCGCTCGCTTATTGATCGCCTTCTTCAAATTACTTACCTTCGCTGCGAATTGAGTTCCGCCTCACGCAGACCAAGCTTTGAAGTGTCGAGACTCCTGTACCAGCCTTTCTATAAAAATAAACCTGTATTCTGTATTGCATCATTTTCTCGCCGTGTTTCTCCTAATCTAAGACCAAGACGCCGAATAACCTTCATCAGTTGCCGTCCGGAATCATTTTCAGGGAATGAATGAAGTACAGTATTTAGCCCAGCATACAATAACTTTGTTAATTAATTATTGCCATGTCATTGTATTTTGGTTTCACCTTTTCTCTAATATATCGTCGTACTCTTCTTTAAATTTCTGGGTCACCTATTTGCGGTTTTTTTTAACCTTTAAAAACATAACAAAAACATGGTACATGCACGTCCGATCTTCGAAATATTAATCGGAGTATTTCATTGTAATTTAAGATTTTCTACTTCTTATCATATTCCTCTATTATGCTTGAATAAGCTGTTTATATAGAAGCAAGACTGGTCTTATTTTGGAGAAGCTCAGTATTTTATTGTTCATTTCCAAATTTATTCTTCGAATTACGCAAAATAAGAGAGGAATCATGTTTGAGTTGAAAGATGATTGCGAGAAATACGCAGGTATTTGCCAAAATATAGTTTGGCGGTTTAAAAAATCATGACTTGCAAATATGTACGGTAATCATTGTACTAAAATTTCAAAAAAGTATGTTTCAAGCGTTGGGTTTATTCATGCCTGTGAAAACTTTTTTCCATGCAGATTTTACTGGGACCTTTGCATGCTGCTTCTGCTCGTCGCAAACATGATCATTCTGCCCGTTGCCATTTCCTTCTTCAATGAGGAGCTCTCCACTCGATGGATCGCTTTCAATTGTCTCTCAGATACAATTTTTCTCATCGACATCGTCGTAAACTTCAGAACAGGTATGATACATGCGTTCAAATGGAACGATTTTTCCCCTGAGAAGATTGAGGTTAAAAAAACAATTTTCTCAGATTTCTCAACCACATTCACGATCTCATACATTTATAAAATATTTTGCTTTGGCAGAACCCTTATTGTACCCTTATTGTTTACAAATATTGTAAATTTCCTTTTCGGAGCCTTCTTTAAATATATTTTATTGCGGTGCACCCTGAGCCTCAAAAGGAAAATGAACGGGGCTAGGTTGACTTTTTTCTTCGATACTCACATTGCACTGTCTATAATTTTGTTGCATCTTGTAGAGCTTGATATGATTTACAGTATTTAAAATTCCCAATTTTTAATTCCTCTATAAGCCTATAGCAACCGTGGATGGTTCGTGAAACATAGTTGCAGAACATTTGGTGCTTTTTGCTGATGCACTGAAGTTAAAATGGCTTGAGTATTCGAGAACTTCCTTAGGCCGTTTCTCAAGCACATCTCTATTGAATGAATACTGTTCAGTATTTTAATTCAAAATGCCAGGAAATGTGCCTCTCAAATCAGGATAATGCCTCAAAATTTAGGTTCAACCGAAAGCACTTGCGGCCCAAGATATAACCATTTCGATTTTTGATCATTGCATTTTCCAAAAGAGATATACAGTATTAATTACTCAATGAAACACGATGAACTGTTTCTTACACGACGAACCAAACATTAAGGTAAATTTATCTGTTCGAAACTTAAAATGAATGCAATTCTGGGATATTGGGCCTGCAACAGATCAAAACTTGAAAATGTTGAGGAATGGTGTGATAGGAGAAGAAAATCTACCGAGCCCAACGGCATGGACACTAGGAATTCTCTCTCCAGTACTTGCTGACCCACAAATATAATCGACTAAACAAGGCTGCAGTTTGACTGGTTCATATGTTCGGATACAAATGGAGAAATTCAATAATTTTTCTATGCATCGCGAAACGTGTCTGTTGCCGCCGACCGTGAACGTTTTTCTGGTTTTTGCGTAGCTCAAAATATGCAACTTAACATGGCTGACGAGGAAATATCCTTTCGAGTCCAACGGTAAAAGTACTTATGATTCAAAGATTTTTTTTTCATCGTTGTTCACGGGTACACAGAAGGAGTCCTTGAAGACTAATCTTGGTTAATTTTCCGGGTTGCTTGGATCGTTGCCAGGCGTTTTGCAGGAGGACTACGGCGAGCAAGTCATCCTTGACCCTTGCAAGATTGCGAGGCACTACTTCCATACTTGGTTCTTCCTGGACCTGATATCATCCATCCCCTTGGACTACATATTTTTAATCTTCAACCAGGTCAGTTTCTGCGCCATTGCTTGACTAGTCTCGTCTCGTCTGCTTCACTGATGGCGCGAGACGATTTTATATTAGAGCTTTTATTCCCTCCGCTTCCTTGCAATGTGATTTGCTAAATGAATAATGAGTCGACCGCGAGGTTGCGAACGAATCCCGGCGACGCGGAAGTGACCAACAAGTCGGGGAATAGCTCGTCGCTCGGGCCCCATTCAATTCTCGATAATTAACGATTTCCGTCATTCCGAACCTGTAAGCGTGAATTTTTTTTTATCGAATTACTGGGATTCCGTGACAAGGTTATCGCACGTGTGTTTCGGCTTTTACCGACTGCGACGCCAGCAACTGTTTTCTCGTGGAGCTCTTCGAGGATTTTCATACTCTTTCAACCTTCCAACATAAAAACTCTCAGACGGATGATACCGTAGCATCCTTCGTCTCCGTCGATTTGTCTCGTGAACTGAATATATCTCCGTGAAACAAATGCTTTCCAGATTGCGATACAGTCTGCTGAAATTGCGTCGTATGTCTCCATTTAATGACGTGGATTGGTTCTCCTGGCGCATTGCTAAGTCCTCATGAATCAGCACTGCTGCAATTTCCATGCTCACGACATTAAGTAGGAACAGAAAGGATTGAATATCTGAAGCGTTTAACCTCATTAAGTGAATTGCTCGTGCATGCTGTTCTTTTCCCGTCAAAGGTTGCATCTAAGTAGTGTATATTATAGGCAAGTATTTAAAAAAATAATTAGGTATCATGGAGTGCGGCACTTTTCAAAATTGACTGAATTGTGTCTCCTCGACAGCATAGGATAGAGATTTCGATTGCGTCATTACGCTAATAAGATACCCAATCCACGAAGTACATTCATGAAAAATAATTTTGGGCAACTTAGTGTGAAGTCCCATGATATTTCAGCAGTTTACTGCCCAGCAAATAATTTGGTACAGGAAGGGCTGCATGTAACAGCTATGCATTAAGTCATGCATTTGTTTTGCCCATTTTTTGGGTGGTATATACTGCAACATTCTTCTGCAACGCATTGGGAATGCATTTTTAATGCATTCTATAGTTACACCTATACTTTTCAAATTTTTATGTACTTTTCTTGAGTGTAGCAGGCAGGCGTTTCAAAACACCTAATTACTTGCTGGGTGAGTTCATGCAGTTCATGACATATCACATTAATTTGATTACATTTTGTTAGGTCAGACGTCATTCTTGCAATTTTCATTTTATCAGGATGTTCTTTTGATATATTCCATAAGTATTGAAAGGAACAAGCTCGTTTTAATTGGAGGTCTTTGACTCAATCAGTCAACATGCGCAGTTTCCAGTTGACACTACAGGGCTGTATTTTCCGAAGATACATGGTACCCTGAAGATACAGTGCGATGTATACAGGATGTAAACATTCCAGGAAATGCCTCTGCTGAATGTTTACACGATATTTTCTGGTAACGGCAAAAAAGTATTTGCATCGAATTATGATCAAGAACAAAAAGGATGCTCTACGAAGTTTGATGAACTTTTGCCTAGTTACATGGCGAGGGATTGTGAAGTTCAAAATGAAAATTATTTCCTTGCAGCAGGCTATCGTATAATTTTAAAAAGAGCCGATTCAAGCACCTATGGAATTTTAAAATAATCAACTATCCAAAATGCTTCGCATCAATTTGTTCTTCATATTTTGAAATTAACCAAGGCGTGTATATGGAGGCATGCATTCACGAAGCATTGCTGGAAACATCAACCTGCGCACACGAAACCCGTACGCCTTGGTTGCACGCAAACCTCAAAAGCAAAAGGTCTGGGTGACGTTTCCCGCAATGTTCCACAATAACCGAGTGTCGCCCTCCACCCAGGATTCCTGAATACAGTACGTATATGCTGGTTAGTCGACTTGCATGTGGTGCTCCCAAGCCCAGGATCGCGTGTGCGGGTTAGCAAGAAACCAGTATATTCGTGTTTATTTTTAGGCTCTGATGAAGTCAGGGAGAACGAATAAAGCATCCATCCAGTGTCCAATCGCAGCCTTATGACGTCGGAATTTTAAAAACTCGAATACATCGTGTATTCCAATGTGCTTCCCATTTTTTGCCCTACAACTTGAGTGGTCGTCATGGATCAGCTGTTGATTGAGTTCAATTCTTGAATGAAGGGCTTGATCTGCTGATATATGTTATGGCCATTTGACTGCTAATCGCGCTTGAAACAATGCATTCGTCGTTAGGACTTTGTTAGAATGTACAATATTTTTGTAGTAAGCCTCATATAAACCAGGTACTTTTAGAAATACCGTACCATTGACGAACCTGTGTATGCTATTAACGCTCTCGGAATTATGCTTTCGTCATTAGTAATTCACAGAAAACGCGTTTCTCAGAAAGATTTGTGAGTCAAAATTGATACGCCTTTAGAGCTGGTGGCTGATGACAGAATAACTTTTAGAAATCCACTCTTGATCTTCAGAAAACGGTTCGACCTCATTAGGAAAAGAACGATATACTGAGACAAGCGTATAAATCATTGGAAATGAGTAAGAATAATGGACAGTGAAAAAGACATTCGTAAATTCCATATGACTTTCTGGGTGGTATCTCTTTTATTGTTCCTTGGCGGCGCAGGTTGCTAATGGACTGGAATGTTTATATATCAATAATGACTTACTCAGAAATTATTTCCGGGTCTTTTCGTCGAAAATGGTGGTTTTTTGACGAATCGGACAAATCTCGCGTATTTCATAAGTTTTTATTTATGCAGTAATTAAATTAGGAAGTACTCTGAGCACAAAGACCCTAATTTCCATCTCGGGAATAATAAAAAAGGTACGCAAAAATGTCCTTCCTGCAAGTCACCGTAATTTCACATATTTTTTCAACAATCGCCCAATAAGGCTTCTCGGAGTGCTGTCGTTTTAGAACCCTTTCAACCCGATAAATAGTGACAGCTAGAAAGAGATTCAATTCGGATGGATTTTCAAAAATTGTTTGTCCTTGACAACGCTATTGAAAAATTCCCCAACTACGGTGCCCCATTCGTATCCTTAGCACGAGCATTCACAAAAACCCGAAATTGCTTCTCGAAAAGATAGAACACAAAGCTATTTTATGAAAAAATAAGCGGCTTCCATGACTTCTTTTTAGCGCGTCGAGAATTAAATTCCGACTTTGATCTTCATATTTTTCCTTTATTCGTCCCCCTTTCACCCTTTCATGTGAGGCATATTTCCGACGTGTACACGAGTGCTGTCGTCTCTAGTTCTAAGCCCATTCGACGAGTTTCAGCTTGAAAAAAATCAAAATACAAAGGTGGAATTCAATTCAGGCGAATGCGACATCTGACACAGAGCGACAGTTCGGGCGTTTCCTCGACGTTATTGTACCTGTGAAACGATACGCGGAGAAAACGCGCATAACTCGTTGTTGGATACCCTGAGAACTTGCATTCCACATTTTTCAGATACTTCGTCGTCACAAAGCTGAAACTCCAATACCCTGTAAGAACAATATATCATCCGACGGCGATTTTGTTGATCGGAATTTTAAAAGTAGAAATTTTAATCGTGTCCTCCGAAGGTCAAGATTGTTTGAAATCATTATTAATTGCTTGAAATGAAAAGTACTGTACCGTGATCTGGTATATACGGCTTTGGAATCTCATTAATTTGAACTGACTGCGAGAGAGAATGGTTTAAGCTCACTTTCGAATCATGCTTGACGTCCGTAATGTTGATGAATGATTATAAGGACCTAAAGGTCCTAAAGGTTTATATAAAGGTGTATATGATTATATACACCTTTAAGTCGATCCCTCGAAGGAGTGAATAAGGTTTTCTTTGTTGTGCTCATCAAAGGCAATCTAAAATAATTTCCTCGAAGTTTTTGCCTTAAAATGTGTTCTTTTTTAAGCTGAGGATTAGACAAGAAAGGGAACGATTTCTAGTCATAACTGCACTGTGAGAAATCCTGAAATAGCACGAAATTCACTGAAATCAAAATTTATCGGCATGACACGTGTACTGGGTAAAACGAATTTACGTTCCAGCTGCTATACCTTTTTTTGGCTGAGAAAAAAAGACAGATCTTCAAGAAAATCGTATTTAAAGTTTTACAAAATGAAAACTTGCACATTTTCCTTGTCTATGCAAGAGTTTCATTTGAAATATTCCACAGGGAAGTTTTCCTTCCCCACAAGTCGCAATTAAAATTAAAAGAATTACGTTTGAATGTCCACTGCTTGCTGTCAGGGCGTTTCCAATTCTTCCTAAATTGTATCTCACTTCATGATTTTGTCAATAAGTTGCTTTTTCAGATATGGACTGATTCTCTCTGGATAGCGGATATGACCGAAAACATATTTCTCACCCGATAATCTCAAAAGCTTAACCTCGGATTGTGCCTCTAGTGAATGACTAAAGTTTTGCAACCTTCATTCATCGACATAACTGCTGTGAGATCAGTGTAATGCACACAGAAGGTTTTTTGTTGCACAAAAATGTGCACGATATCGATGTCTCTGTCACCAGGCCATCACTGTGATCAGAATACTGTAATAATAAAAGGGAGGGCTCTAAGAAATGTGAAATGTTGAACCATTTATTTATGCAGTGAATATAAAATACAGTAAGTACCTGACTGCTAGAGGAGAGGCCCGCAAAAATACCGCACCTCATTTTGTACCTTGCATCTAAGTTCGTTTCGTCGAAATTTATTCATAGCGAATCATTCAGTTTAATACATTTTTTTATCTACGCGCCGAATTTTGAATACTTCGTTTTTGATATACGCATTTATTCGGAGAAACTGATTGATTTTCAATGTCTTCGCTTTGATCAACTTCTTGTGCTGACTTTATGCGAATTGTTCTCGAGTCACTGAAGTACTGAACTTTTCGGCTCGTCGCACAAAATGCGACATGTGTTCTTAAGAAGAATACGGAATTCCTGTCGCGTGGCAGTCAATCCAAATTCCGTTCTCTGGTTGACGTTGATGCCTAAACGAGATTTTATGCAACAGGACTTTTTTTTCCTTTCCTGTGAAGATCGAACATTTGTTCTCTTCCACGTGAATATTTCTTCGGGTCCATCATACTTAAAAAAAGTGCAAAATCTTAGTATTTTTTTATGTCCTTGGCCAAAACAATTGATCCTCGTGCTACAAGGTAACAATCAAACGAATTATGAAATAAAATCCAGTTTCCGTGTGGAAATGTTTGTTTTCTTTCAAGCAGAACACTCACGGCCCTTTTGACTACTCTGCATAATTCCAAAGAATGAAAAATGCAACTTGACCCAATTTTCTTCACTTAACTCAGTTTCAACAGAAGCTGGCGAATCTGTCTAGCTGATCCTTTGGAAAATGCTTGTATATCGTACAACAGAACACTGCGCAGCTGAATTTTTTAACGATGCGGATTTACCCTACTTTTGTTTTAACTTTGCATGAATTTGATTCCGAGCAACATGAAATTGTTGAAAAGTAGCCTGAAACTATGGTTGATACCTTCACGTCAAAGCTGGAAGAATTCCTGCCACATAATGATGAAAAATTGTTTGGGAAAGAATGCGTGGCTACTTTCGCATGAACAGTTCAACTTGAGGGAAGTTATTGGACAAGATGCTTCGCCGACGGCCTATTTCAAGGTTTCGCTGATGTGTCACTTTTGCGTGTGCTTTCAGGACTCGAACGAGAACTTCCAGCTGCTGCACGCTGGTCGAGCGCTGCGCATCCTGCGCCTTGCCAAGCTTCTTTCCTTGGTTAGATTGCTGCGGCTTTCACGGCTCGTCCGGTATGTCAGCCAGTGGGAGGAAGTGTATGTGAGTAGCCATCATCGTGGACATTTCCGCGTATTTGAAAGCGTAGAAAACCCGAAACCTCCTGCGGCTCTTTCAAATCGTCGACGTCTGGACGAGGCCTGACCGTATGGTTCCCAGAGCGATGCGCGAAAGGCGTTCGCAAGATCACGCCCCACCCGTTGACAAATGCTGCCTCTCAAACCAGATGAAATTCATCAAATGATCAGAAAACTTTCAAATCTAAGTGATCCTAGTTGTGGTTCTTCGACTTGAAAAATTTCCAAGTACAGTGCTAAGCTTGAGCGGTTCCAGTGCGAAGAATCTATCGTTAGTGCCGCATACAGTATACTGTACTCAACTTCTCCCGCTCGGTCTGCCGTTTCAGGAAAAAGATGAAACTTTTAATTTCGAGATCGATAGGAATCCACTTTCAAGAGAATCAAGACAACGTGTTGTCTCCGTAAAATTGATCAATGTTTTAATGTCTATTTAAAAACTATAAGGACAAATGATGTAATCATTCTACAAACAAGGATATGCTTTCTTTCCAACTTTTCTTTATGCAGTATTGTAGAACATTTTTAATTCGTTTTCTTCATAATTTTCAATGAAGTATGCATCCTCCTGAAGATGGTTTTGAGCTTTTTCTTTCTCAACACTGCGTTTAAAGAATGACACGTTCATATCGAGGAAATGAGTTGATTGTACGCTCGGAATCACCTGCCTCCCCAATATTTTTTTCAGTTCATGGAAAACATTAAATCCTTTGAAACGCACGTTGGCTGACTAATCATAGACGTGAATGGCACTTTCTTGCTTCGTAAGCACACTTAACGCATTTTTAGCATGTACTCAATATTTTAACTGAATAGAAGATTCTCAAAATTCCGAAAAAAATGCATTTGCTCCAATGGCAGATCATCCTATACTGTATGAATTTCCATTCAACAAGTTAAAACCAAAAAGAATCCTCAAAGATTATCTTTTGAAAAATGCCATGTTTTAAAGCTGCACTCAATCGAAATTATTTTAAGCGTGGGACATGCATGTAGAACAGGAGCATTTTACCATATTTGTACTTCTTCAGAAAATAATTTTTTTCTGAAGTCGCAGACCGAACGGGGAATGCATAAATCACATGTGTATTGTGTAGTGCGCTGGCCACCGATTTTTTTCTTCCATTGTGAATGGTGGAAAAATCGGTTAGAATGAAAAAAATTTATAAGTAAAAAATGGCCCAGAGCATGCTTCTAGAAAGATCTGGTCACCTCAACGCAAAAACGGCCAATCTTTTCCCGGAAATAGGCTGTAAAAAATAAACATTCGGATTGGTCACGGATATCTGACAAATTCCTTTCATTTTTTCATTTTTTACATCAATTTATGGCGAATTTTTGAGCTGAAATATCGCGAGAACATGAAGTATCGTGACGTTTCCGAAATTCTGAAAATTTCCGTGAAATGATTCGATGGGATCGCGGATTTTCGGCACGCGAAATCTCAATCCCATGCCTCATCTTGTGAACGCCCTTCGTCGCTACCCTCTCCCGCTGGTTGGAAATTCGAGAGTTACCACTGTGTCACGACATGCTGACCGAAAGTAGCTTAGTCCTTGCTTGTGTCCAATTCTTTTCTGCAGTTCCTCAACATGGCGAGCGTGTTCATGCGGATTTTCAACCTCATCAGCATGATGATCCTCATCGGACACTGGTCCGGCTGCCTCCAGTTCCTCGTCCCGATGCTGCAAGGCTTTCCATCCAACTCCTGGGTAGCAATCAATGAGCTCCAGGTACTGCTGTAGCTTGAAACTAGAATTGTTCTGCTCGAGAAAATGGCGGCGATTTAATGAGCGTATTCTTCATTCCTGTTTTACAGCATTTACTCGTTTACCACGCGAAACGTTTTCCAAAAAATTAAGATGGTGAAAAGGGGATGCGCGTCATATAGACGGGTATACTTTTTTCAAGTCTTAGAGCTTTAGGTTTGCATTGACTTCGATTCTAATGGGAAAATTTAGAGCAATTTCAATGTTGAAAGTCTTACCGCAATGGATATATTGTACTATAATTGAAAATCAGATGCCTTCAGGATCAAATCATGTTTAAATCAAAATTTGGGTGTTATTATTTTCGAAAACTTGCAGTTTTAGAGTCTCTAAAAATGGGGTGCGCGTCTTACTCATTGATGGAATTTTCTTCAAAATTCTGGCTGAAAAACCCTGGTGCACGTCATGCTCACATCATTTTTGAGCAACTCGACATTTTTCAAACTTCAGGCTACAATTGAAAGCAGGAAATGAAAAAGAATGAGAACCGCAATAAAGCTGGAGTCCGTCTGAAGATTTTGAACAGACTTTTCGCTCGTAAAACATTTCCAATTTGTCTTGAAGCCCCCAACGGTTCAAAAAATCGTAGAAGCAATCTTGACTGAAACAGCTGAAGACGATTTCAAGCTTTTGTAACATAGACGTACTGTTGATGAAAAAACAATTCCCAGCAAAACCGTGGTTTTGTAATGCAATTTAGATTTACATGAGGAAGTCAAATCGTCCCACAATTAGGACTCAATCCGCGAGGAGCAAATGAAAGGGAAATGAAGAAATCGATCGCACAGGCACGCGAAAAGAACTTCCGGAAAACATTTCACGAGTAAATTATTCATGGAATAAAAGCGCGAGGCAAACTGACAATCAGTGTGCAGAATGCGTCCGGCATTAATCTTAGATTTTTAGGTGCCCAAGGGAATATCGCGACGAGGTTACTCTTGCAGTAAAGCGGGGGTTTGTATGGTGGTAATTCCTATTCCGCGGTCGAGACCCGTCTTTGCAATGGCTCGTGGGCGCAGGAAAATTATTTGATTTCGGAGACGGAATGCTGAAGTTTCCGCCGCGGGCTCCGGGTTCCTGGTCTAGAATGAAATTCCATTGCTTTCTCTCGAGCCCCAGTCCGATATTTACGTGCTCGTCGGAATCGAGTGGGATGGATTGGTCGAAGAACACTCGGAGGAAATCCACTTCCCACTCCGCGACGCGAAAGCAACGTATTTTTAGGAAACGAAGAATCCGAGGAGTTTCTTCCAATAATGCGTCGTAAAATACGCGTCCTTCTATTAACAAAATTGCCCTTATAAGACGTCAAAGTCATAACAAAAATGAACAATATTTTGCTCATTCAACTTCTTTCCAGTCGGGTCGATTTTGATTTAAACACCGTTCGTGCTCAGTCCATCAGTTCTCATTGTACACACGGCAACTTCATAATTTAATTTGCTCCTGTTACTACAGTATAAGGAAAGACACTCTTCGAAATAAATCCACAACGTTATATCCCGAAATAACTTGGACAAAATAAATTTTCCGGCAATATAATGCACAACTATTTATTCAAGGTTGAACGAAGAGTAAACCAAGTACCAAATTTTGAATGAACAGGATGATAAATACCTCCTGCAATTCCATTTTCCATTTTGGTTCAAGAACATTCGATAATTTTCCCGTGACATTTCAAAATTACGGAGGATGTTTTTTTCGACTTTCAGTTGATCTGATGGTATTGACTTTTGAAAGAATCCTAACGTTTATGAAACAATTTAACACCCAGTTTCAAAAGCTATTTAACCCCGATGACGAGCTGCCTTCAAGCAAAGATTTTTAAATACGTCTGTATATATCTTCTGAACCGTTTTCCAAAAACTAAGTGCAATGTAATTTAAATAAGCTTAAATTCAAATTTTTGCATTAATTTTTCCCAATATCTCATGCTGATTGCGGAAAATCAATAGTGAGACGCTACGGGTTCGAAAAAAACCGACCGTGTTCCTCTCATAATCAACCGATATGCAATGTATTCTGTTCGTTTTCCTGATCCCGAACCAGCGAAGGGTTCGTGAAGAATTTTCATGTTTTCAGGAAATACTGAAATACGAGAAACGATCTCAGAAGTCTTGCGTCGATGCATGACGTATAGGGGAAAAAATTGAAAACCGCGAAGATTTCGAAGTTCCCTCGCCCCAGTTGGCGCATATCCAACGAGGTTCGCGAGGAAAAAATCTGTTTTCGGCCAGAAAACCTCTCGAGGCTCGGTTTCCGTTAATGGGAGAATTTTCTTCTGGATTTCCCAGTCCAAGGTGTGGATCGAGCAATACTCTTGGAGCCTTTTCAAAGCCATGTCGCACATGCTGTGCATCGGCTATGGCCGATTCCCCCCTCAGAGCCTGACAGACATGTGGCTCACCATGCTCAGTATGATTTGTGGAGCGACTTGCTACGCATTATTCCTGGGACATGCCACAAACCTCATCCAGAGCCTGGATTCGTCTCGTCGGCAATATAGAGAAAAGGCAAGTGGTTCCAACTTAGTCGCCTTCGAACAATATAATACGGGAATTTGGAAAATAGAGAATAACCTGGAATGCTGAATTCATCATCTACGTCATATTCATATTCCCTACATTACCATGCAATTTCATTTAAAGCGATGCCCTCACGTTGGCTGGAAAATAGGTTTCGTACCATCTGTATTAATTCAGCATGAATTGAGGATGCATGGATCGTGACATTATATTTTCATACCAGAATTTATGCACATCGCGATTCCAAAAAGGGTAGAATCATCATTTTAATATATCAATTGCTGATCATGTTCTATAGTCATAAAACTGAAAAATAAACGCTCAGTTTTCTTTTTATTGACATACCTCATTCTCATGTCTAATTTAAAATTCTAATTTTTGCACATTTTCATTGCGCTCGTATTTCTGGAAGCGAATAATTCAAGATGCGTGCTTTTAAAAATTTTTTTCTTTCCATCGCAGGATTTGCGTGAACATTTTGAAACATTTTCTTAGAAAACAGTGTGCGGCATACTTGGTCATAAAAATTTGAATTCCTTTAGTTTTTATGGATTTGCCACGGATCAGGTATTTATTTGTACAATAAATGTTTGATGTTTTATTTTTTAGATATTGAGCATTTCCATGGTTTTGCTCCATAGGGCATCATCACATGTTATGACGGGAGGGTTTGGAGAAGGAAAACCAAGAGCAGACTCAATTTAAATATCGTATGAACAGTTCGAAGCCCATTCACTGTCTTATTTTATGATTAACGGAGTCTCAGCAACATTTATCCTCATGCTTTCCGGATTTTCGTTTTCCTGAATCGTACAAGAGAGATGAAGTCATTTTCGTAATTTTGTGCGCAGTTCAAGCAAGTCGAGGAGTACATGGCTTATCGGAAATTGCCGCGGGACTTGCGTCGACGGATTATCGAGTACTTCGAGCACCGCTATCAGGGGAAATTCTTCAACGAAGAGGACATTCTCGGCGAGCTGAATGAAAAACTCAAAGAGGTGAAGATTAACGTCGCGTCCCATCCCAGCAGTTCTCTGTCGCTGTTCTTCCTGGCAGCTTTGTCAACAGCACACTGTGCCCGATTCCTCTTAATTCATCTGCTAGCTGTGCACGCCAACGAAACAGAGGGGATTGTTGGCAGAGAAGGAATTCCCGAGGGATTAGCCCCTCTTGGGTGTTTGCCGACGTTCATCAGAGCAGCAACAATAGAGACAAGAATACCTGGATACTTCTTCGCTCTTTCGTATGACCTTTTCTGGGAGCTCTTTGAAGTCGGATTGGATTGAAAGCTCGAGTTTAAGAAAAAAGAAACATTCATGAGCTGTCCCATTCTTAAGCGAGCCAGATCCTCGTCGTCTGTTCGATGGAAAGCCAAAGACTTGTTAACATTCGTCCAAGTTCACCATCAGCTTAAATTTGACTTCCAGTCCATATTCGAAGTCACATGATATATTTGTTTATGAAACTATCAAAAAATAAACGGCCGGAAAGTCAGGCGCATCGACTTGGACCATTTTCCTTCGAATATAAGAAAGCTTAATTTTTTTCAATAAATTCACTGAGGTTCATTTTCAGTAACATTTAGTCCAATTGATTACTAGCGGAAAAATCACGGAACCTGCGAAGCTGAACCTAAGCTTGAATCCTAATTTATTTATGTTGACTTCGCGTAACATAGAACTGCAAAATACGAACGTTCGTATCACAAAAAAACTCATAATGTAATTGCATATATTGTACAGTATTATTAATATTCAGACGGGCTTTCTTCGTGGATGAGCCCTACTTTTTCCTGCGAACAATGATGCAAGTCTTTGCTACGAAGTGTGCTGGTTTTCGTGAATTCTGACTCTCTAAGAGTCACCGTCAGTTTCAGCTTCTTAAGCTGAATTAAATTGAAGTTATTTATGACGAAACCAACACCTGCGCCAAAACTTTGGCATTTATTGGCTTGCTAATTTTGTCTTGCTACTGTATTATCCGACAGGTGAAGCGAAAACTGCGCACTCTCTGAAGTACTACAGTAAACTCCCGCACTCGCACACGTGATATTTCATTGTGAATCTGTAGTTGAAAAACCCCTTCATTTTTATATCCAGTGTAATCTATTTTGTGAGCACTAAAATCACAACAGATTGTTTTTTATATTAGGAGGAACAATGGTGCCGGTTTGCTTTTATATTTTATCCGGGTTGGTCAATCCATTCATCTCCGAATATTGTAAGTCTGAAAAGGCTCTCTAAGCTGATCCTCATTTACAGACAGTTCTTCAAAGGGAAAATACCGTTTGGTTGAGAGCAAATCTTTGCCATATCTCATAAAATAAATCTTTCTATGAGAATCAAACATGCAATAAATTTAACATCCTCTCTGGTTTTCTTGGGAACATGAACAAGTGCACAACATCATTGAGCATATAAATCAGCTCACATCCTGGGAAAACGGGATGTTTCTCGGTTTCTGGTCCTTCAAATATATTCAGAAGCGGTAGCTCTCAATGACGTCGTTCAACGTCGTCGCAGTCTGCGAGTGCCGCCTCGCCATGCTCTGTCTCGTCACGTATTATAGCGTGGAGAATTGGAATGAGTTTCTTGTTAAATAAGAACCGGGGGAATGGTTTCTTATTTCATCTCGTTTAGGACGTCATCAACTTCAACTGCAGGTCCTTAGTGGCAGCAGTGCCGTTCTTCTCAAACGCAGAGCCTCAGTTCGTCACTGACGTAGTGACGAAACTGGAATACGAAGTCTTCCAGCCGGGTGAGTGCCGCGAATTCCAAATGCGCGCGGGAGTGGAGGTGAAAGGGAGACGTTTTTCTGACGAAATGTCGTGTTCTTTCTGGCCCGTCACCCCGCCGGGGTCGGAACAGGTGATATCATCATCAAAGAAGGCACGATAGGAACGAAGATGTATTTCATCCAAGAAGGAATCGTGGACATAGTGACGGCGAGCGGGGAGATCGCGACGAGCCTAGGCGACGGGTCTTATTTTGGGGAGATTTGCTTGCTCAGCAACGCCCGGCGGGTCGCGAGTGTGCGAGCAGAGACGTACTGCAACCTCTTCTCGCTGTCGAAGGGACACTTCAACGCCGTGCTCCAGATGTACCCCATCATGCGTCAAACGCTTGAAACGGTCGCTGCCGAGCGGTGAGAACCCGGATCCCGAGGACCTTTTCAGTATTTGCTCCCCTCGTTTGCATTAGAGTCCTTTTATGATGATCCGGCTTTGTTTTTACTGGTGGGATACATGCAGATACGAGAGTCAGTGAGGTTCTCTGCATCCAAAAGCTCTGGACGCAGGTTAAAAAGACCCTTCTCATATAGTGCCTTGATTGCTACTAGGGAATAACTTACAGTAACACAAAATTTTGAGTGTTTCAGGATTGAAAGATGAGAAAAGCACTTCTAAAAGAAAACTCTTACTCAGCCTGGAACGAGGTGAGAAATTCCCTCGGAATTTCTGATTTAAAGGCTAATGATGTACAGTATTTCTTTTGTCCCAATGTACCGAACACGGTAAAGACAATAAGTTTTGATGGTAAACAACAACTCAGCAGAATTCTTCCTGATTTGAACACACACTTGTTGCAGATTTTAGGCTGCATTAAGAGCATTCCAGATGCAAGAGACATCTGAGTGCTGAGGCAGTTACCCAGCCTCGAAGGGAATTTAATTTTATAAGTACTGTACTGTACAAAACTACATTATGGCTGCATAAAATAAGAGAAGCTGGAGCATCCTCACTCCTTGAATATTAAAAGAGGACTCTATTATTGTCACAGGTTTCATGAAAACGACAATCACACACAATCAGCAAATACAATCTTGCATTGCGCAATAGAAACTTGCTTTCAAAAAATTATAAAATCAGCATCTTCTTGAGATCTTCTTGAGATTTTTTTAAGAATGCACCGAGGATAATTCTTAGCGTTTGTAAGGCTTAACTTGCGCCCAAGAAAGTGATACTGTATTAACATGATTGATTTAAAAAACTTCGTTGGGCATACTGTATACGGATTTATATTCTAAAACTATGCTCAAAACATTGAAAATAAATTGTTCGATATTAAATAATATAGAACTGTGAACCGTTACAAGGAGCTGAAATACATCATTGTACTTGAATACAGTAATTTTACTCGCCAGGAAAAATTTATAAAAATCGTAGATATTAAAGGATTGCTTACAGTCTACCTTTAGAAAGAAACTTTAATTTTTTTTTAGCTCCGCCGCATTTTATTCAAAAATATTTTTCGTTCTGTCTTCAAACTTAAAAAAAAACGAAACCGACACATCCGCGAACGTTCTTTTTTCATCACTTCGGCTTTCAAAAGAATTTAGCAGCAAACTCGGATACTTCTGAATTTTTTGGTAAATCGGATCAAGCTGAAGGATTATTAAGGTACAGTATATTCCTTACCTTTATTAATTTTCTGTATGACTTGCTAAAAATATGATTATAATTTTACTTGGATGCATTTTTTGGATGTAAGTCCTGTGTACCAATGATTTCCACTGCCACATAATATGAACAACTTCAACGGCGATGTAAGGGAAGGAGAAGAGCGAAATGAAATTTTTCAAATACTGTTTGAGCAATATCGACGGGCTTTTCCACTTCGGGGGAACCAAACATTCGTCCTGAAAGATGCATACCGACATTTCGAGGGGAAAATTCGCCGTCGAAACGATTATTGACGCTCATGCACATCCGTTTGAGAGAAGTGAATCACTGAAAAGGTCACGCTTGAAGATCTTGTCTCAAGCGTTTCCGTGGTTTCGCACAGTACTCCACTTAATTTTCCTGTACGATGAATCCTAATTGCAACTGAGGAACCTGCTTCGGTTAAGAATGCAGACGCAGCGCATGTCGTCCTTGAATATTTTCTACCTGAGGTTCCATTTCTGAGTCGATAAAAATGTACTGAAGCTTCTTCATTGAGATATGAGGGTCGTCGGGTTACTGGACAGTGGGCACTGGGCAGTCACGAAGAAAACATGTAGTGTCTAATCGGTGAAAAATTATTCTCCCCTCTTCAATAATTTCCAAGTACAGTACCAAAGTAGGACATCACTCAAGACCATGCCAGCAACAATTTGCATTCCTTATTCAGCACCCATGCAGAGCTAGGTCGCAGATTTTCTTTTATTCCTACAAATCCATAACTCCAAAGTTTGGCATGAACAGAGCTGGATAAAATAAAATTTTTGCAGAAGATGCCACTTGTTTCCAATTCTGAGTGTTGTTTTGGCAAATCCGGAGCGAAAATAATAACGTCGACTGTGAGAGATGATGAAAACATGTTGCATTGATCTAACGCTTCCAGTGATCTGTTTGATCTGAACATCGGAAGATTTTCGGGCACCCCCGTTTCCTGTAATATCCTGAACTCCACGCAGAACCAGACCACCCTTATTTGTGGATTTAAAAAAAAAAAAAAGCACTATTTGCGGTTGGGACTTCAGAGTGATTCAACTAAGCGTTAGGGAGGGACGTTGTTTCAAAACAAACTGCTCGGATAAAATTCAAATTTTCCTTCCAGACTGCACAAGATTGGGAAGAACCCGAGCATCGTATCAACACGGGATGACCTGATGGATGAGCGGGAACACGGAGCGAGTTGCTTCCACCTCGCGTCCATGGCCAACTCGGATGGCGAAAACGCCTGCATGCCGTTTTGCACCAGTAGCCGAAGTCACTTGGACCTGCATGGCTGCGGGTCCAGAACCCACAAGCCAGCCGACTTCCACTTAGGTCAAGAGATGGAGCACCTTACGCTCTTCTCGGACTCGGGCAGTCTCCGACGCCTCAAGTCGGAGAATTCTCTCGCCTTCCAAAACCGCGATGCTGCTGGTCAAGGACAGAAGCGTCGACTGCACCAGTCCACGGTGCTGAACAACCCAGCTGCTTGCGAAGAGACACCGAGTGACACCTGATGACGAACAAATGGTCTACTTTTTCGATCACCTCTGTGGACAACGTATAGAGTCCCAAGCAGGTCCAACGCAGCCGTATTTGGACTCCCGTCGGGGCGGACACCACAGCAACGTGATAGGATCGCATTGCTCCTTTTATCAGCACTTCGCTGCAGTGTCCATAGATTCTTGAGTCTTCTCTTTAATTGACAAATATTGCAAGTTATAAGATGAGCAGGTTGTGAAGAGCGCCGCCTATGACGCTCTGTGAACCGGTTACCAATTAGTGCCAGTGGTACTGAAATAGATCCATTGATTGATCTAATAAATCGGGCTGATGAATTTTCAGCATTAGCCCAATATATTCGGTCGTTTCATTCTTTTACAGACATGAATGATTCTACAATTGAACCTTGATAAGTTGAACTTCCCTAAGTCAATTTTTTTTCAAGTCCCCATCTGAATTCACTTAGAAACAATGCATTAAAAGCCTCCTTAAGTTGAAGTCTTTTCCTCTCAAACCTCTGTGAGTTAAATTTTCTGAGGCCTTTGTCTGTTGTTTTCTTGACACAGGAGAAAGAAGAGCAATACAAAACATAATTCGAGGTGCTTTGAAAAGAATTGAAAGACTAAATTGGGAAAATGAACCTCTGCCTCCAACTTCAGCATCCTGTCCAATCATCTATCTACAAGACAATTTAAGGCTTAGGATATCATCATTTAAAATTTTGTCCATTTCTTCTAATTTTCTTGCAACAAAAATGCTTGGTTCCATAACACAAACCTCTAAAACTTGAAGCCTATCCCTAAGTGAAATTGTTTTGCTGGTCCCTTGAAATTTGACTCAGAGGTTCGTATTTTCAGCAGGGAGAGAGCGACACCTGCAAATTACTAAACGTAACTTTTGGACGATAACTGATATTTCGCAAGCAGCTGTCGTGCAATACAGAAAAATTCCCGCGTTTTGCAGACGGCATCTGCTTTGATAATTGTAAAAATGTCTTTTATTTGGTGGGAAATTGTGAATTCTAAGGAAAATTTACATTAAGTCAATGATTTAAGTAAAGTAATATTTTGCACGCGTGTACCACATCCTGAAGTCCCTAAACCAGATAACATAATTTCAGTTTACATTTAAAACTCGATGATTCACGCTTGTATAGAGGCATTCTTCGAGCATTGGTTAAAAATACCACATGCTATCATATAACTGGTGGATTTTTGCGTAGAAGATTACATTAAGCTGGTTCGCCGATCACCAAGAATCCATTCCATTTTGGATGCCCTGTACGAAGAAAAATGTGGAACCTGCAAATTTTTAAACCCATTTAGAAACTGGTAAGATGTACTGTAGTGGGTACATAGCGCTCTCTTGTGAGAGAGATATGATCCAACACCTGAAACCATTTTACTGCGAAAGTCCCCTACTACTTAAAACTCTCTCATGTGCCTGCAGCTTCCTCAAGGGAAATTTTCATCGATAAAAAGAGGGCCTAAAAACATCGAGTGACATCTGCCTGCGTAAGTGAAAAGGGAGGGTTCCTTCAGCGTTTTTATTTTTCGTCGGCTGGCTCACGTTCCAGGATGAGAGGAAGTTTTGAGAAGCGTCGATGCCTTTACAGTATATACAGTACCTCGGTATATTATCGTCCAAACTTGAAATGAAAAATAGGGGCGTTTTGAGAAAATTCGGCGAGTCTTTCAACAGGCAATTAACAAATGGAAAATTCGATCGCAACCATAAATCAACGGATTATCCGCTATAGCGAAGACCCAAAATTTTCATTTTCTCGCTGTTCCTGGAGTAAAAAAATCAACAATTTTCTTTTTAAACTTGTCTCCCATGAGGAATAATTCATGAAAATTGAAAATTTCCATTTCAGCACTAATATCAATTGAGATATACGGGATCTCAACTAACTTTTTCAATATTTCAAGTAAGAAAAATACCTCATGCGCCATGTGCTTTGGTATTCAATGATCTGCTGAAGTTTAACCCAACAAGTTAAATTGAAAATGATGCCATCTTTCAATGCCAAAGATAATTTGACTCTCAAATAAATACAAATAATTCATTTAGAAAACATGTCAAGTAGGATAAGAAATGATTATTTGGAAAATGTAATTATGATGGAGCGAGAAGATTGTAGCATTTGTGTAGCATTCATTTGCCGCATTGTGCCATATACTATTTTTTATCATCAATGTTGCATTCTTATTAATGTAAATGGTTATTACAAAGTGACACAATTTTATCATAAAATATTTATGAAAAAGAATTTATTTTTTCTGAGTAAGAAGTAAAAGAAGTAAGAAAAAGAAGTAATGAAAATTATTTGGAAAGTTATATGCGCATTGATGTTTGGCAGCCAATGAAATTGTCGTGCTGGAAATGCCAAAACAACTTAATTCGTTTCCATCCGAGCCTGGGCCGGAGTATCCCGTCAGTATTAAGAGAGCGTGTTTACGTCATTCCCGGACTCAGGAGACTTTGAAACCCATAAGAAATATTCCTTTTTCTGGAAAGCTCGTCGATGTCCTCACGCAATCAGTGCTCCCATAACCTACAAGCGAGCCTCTCGTATTATTGAAGTCGGTAGCCGAAACTCGAGTGAACGGTGCCGTTGAAGGCTTACAACATGCCGTGTTTATGTTGCTCTTAGAGCCCATTAACGCTCTCGGGGACTTGCCTTACTGCTCTCCCTTTCCTTTCCCGTCTCATTCATTTGCCGAATGCTACGTTCGCGCTTTTTACAGGTCAAGCGGGGGCACGTTCTCGCCCCGATTCCTGGGTATCCGTCGTCAGGGTCGTAGCCCGGCTGCATTAGGACAATCGCTTTTACTGCTCGGCCCCGTCGTTACAGCGGAGCGCAAAAACGTTCTCCTCTGATTTATTCGCATTTTCCTTCAAACGGCTCTAATGAAACCTTCGAACTGGAAATCACTCCCATATGCGAAGAACAAGAACTTGCTCGTGTACATCAAGAGAAAATCACGAGGGATATGCCTGGTTAATCCTCGGAGACCGGGGTAGCAGAGGTTCAAAAATTTGTTCAACAACTTCGTCATTGTCTTAAATATGTTTAATATCCAAATACTGTATCATGGCACACGTATCGTTCAAAATCATATTCTTACACACAGTATCACTCAGAGATGCCAGGAATCAATGGAAGATCATCGAAGTCCATCATGAATAGAACAGAGATAGACATTGGGTGCAAGAAGATTTTTAAATACACATGTAAAACGCTAAGTTGAATGATAGCTGAATACTCCGCTACAAAAAGCCTGGACATATCTCAAATCAGGTACTGTATAAATGAACCAGCAGTAGCCCCAGAATTCCCAAGAATAAATCAACCCCTTGAACAGTCACTATAGTGTCCCGTAATAAGTCCAGAAACTCTTTTGGACACCTGTTCTGATGTAATTTCCTGTATATACAAAAAATTCAAAGGGATTTTTATTAGGTGTTGAGGCCTTTATAATTAAATCTAGTATTTTTTAATATGGAAAATTAATTGAGAGGCAACTAGTTCTGCTGGTGCACGGATGCCCAAATAAATTAGGGTTTCAGCCTGGAGTCAGGTTCTACGCATGATTGAATTTCATGCTTATGTTGTGACTTTCATTTTGGACGAACGCTTTCCAGTTCATACATTTGCAGTTTAGAATAGCGCGTTTCTCATGAACCATTCATGCGTACACGACCTACGTATAATCTTCTGAGAAATACTGTACACCGCGAGAAGTTATTATGATGTATGAGTTATGTGCCTTGCTGAAGAAATAACAAGTAAGAAGTACATTATTTAGCATGGATTTGTCTGGAATAAGTTGTTCTATTAATGTGCGCGTTTGTTGCTTTTCACGATGGAAAGTAATGCAGTATTCAATTTCCTATAAACCATCTCGAAGATAAAACGCAAAAACTGGCGGGAAAAAGTGAATATATTTGCTTGGATTATTGAAATTTTCTTTGACGAAGAATCGAGCTCATTTTGTCCAATGAAAAATAGTAGAAGTAGAAGAATTGGTTGAACCGAAGTTAGAAGAGTATTATTCAGATGCTGGCACTGGAATATTGATGGGAGTCATACTCCGAATCAATTATCCCTTTGAGAGCCGTTCTCCGTATCTTCTTTCAGCGAGATGGGTGGTAATTTTGTCAAGAAAAAAATCAGGAGGAGGTGAGATTTTCCACTTCAATAGATGGATGTCCGACGTCACATTAGAGGAACGGATGCGGGAACGGAAGACGGGAACCATGTTAATGCGCGATGTGAAATGTGACAGGACGGGGTGCATAAGATGCCCGACGACGTCCTGCGGGACTCATCCGTTAATAAATCCCCGAGTGGGTTCGATGCGTCGCAGGAGTGACCCTGTTTGGCCCCCTCTGACCAGCGTCACCCGGAACCAGGCCGTCAGTCAATTACGAGCTCGGCGATGTCGCCAGACTGGCCATAAAAAAAAATGATGAGAGTTTCGGGGCAGATTTCTGAAAGCAATTCGCTACAGGTGCCGCGTCCAGAGAGCCGAGGAGACAATGCTACGGATTAGGGAAACGGGCAATGAACTGCCCATCCCCGGGCCATCGGGCCCGCAGGAAACTGGCCCCTCTGGCTTTCTCGGGACGCGATTTCCATCTCGCTGATTCAGCGCCAATTTTTTTCCCGCGTCCGGGCTTTCGGCTTCTCCCGGGACACATTCAAAAACAAGATTTCATTTCCTCGAAGCGTAAAGAGAATTTTATGGTATCTATTTGAGTCTTATCCGGTGTACATGATACGTAGATTTTCCAGGTCCCCAACCAGCACCGTAAGAATTCAACCGACCATTGTGTCACGTAATTGCCTTCATACCATTAAAATCGGCGACAGATTATTCTATTTTCCTTTCAGTGCAATGGATCAATTCACGCATTTCTCAATGAATTAGATGATTGTAAATTGAGAATTCCGTTGCACATAAAAGCGCGAACCGTTCAAAAATGCATAGCGGTTTTTGTTCTCTGCGACCGATTTCGATAAAAATCCGAAACTAGCCAACTCACGGAAGAAATGCAGTGCTCAGACTTCTGAAATTGTAGATGAAACAACCCTAACATTGCAGCAGCATTCTGATGGGAGTACTCTTTCTTTGTGTTTCATAGCGTCTCATCAGTGCAAATTATATGTTTGAACTTGGAAGCGCTTTTATTCTACTTCGAGAGTATCATTCATGTTCGTGCAAGTTTGGGCATTCAGAGGTTATGATACTGACAACGGTAAAGCAGTTCCAATAGTTAAAATTTCTGTACGGCTTCAGGAAGGAATTTTGAACCTTCGAT